GCAATGAAAATTATGAACAAATATTTATTAATATGTTTATGATTCTTCTCCCAACCATTTCGATTGTTTGATCGTATTCACTAGACAACACCTATGACAGTATAGGTGACTCTCTCTCATAGGATTGAAATATATATATATATATTGAAACAGTCACAGTATCATCTTCAAGAAATGCTTCCTTCATATCAAAGAGAAGCCAGAAAATTAAGTAGGAAAATATGACCTCCCTAAAAATGGAGCTAAATTTATGACACAGGGAAAATTCTAATTTGTTCAAATCAGCATGTTTTCTTGTCATTGTGAAAGCAGTTAACAGCAATTAAGATAGATCTTTTCCCACTATATAGATAAAGCTGGCTTAACATAACTGATGATGTACAACCCTGTAGCTCAAAGTCGTGCCTACAAGGAAAAAGTCCCAATGCCTCCTACAGCAAAAGTCAAACTAAACTGTATGAACCACCTGAACTCGTGCAAGCCTGCGTGGTGTGACTACCAATGCCTCCCTTTCCCAAATGCCACGCTGTGGGTAGCCCCAGCCCCAGCCCCAGCGGTTCCTTGCTCTGGTAGTAATTTCCAGTAGTAATCAATAAATGGATTAAAAGGTAAACAAACTGAATTATGTGAGTTACCATCTTAATGTATAAAATAGCGTGCACTTTGTCACGTGAAATGCTGTTAGCGCCGTATCTGGTAAAACAGACGATGCCTGCGAGCAGAATTAGAGAGATGAAAGTGCACCCGGGTGCAGATGGCACGGCACAGCGCGGGCAATGAGGCATTGGTGGGGACACCGCGGGAAGGTCCTTTATGGATCAGTTGCAATCAGGCAAGTGCGGCGTACGTGCTTTCTGTTTGTGCTATCACTGAAATGGTGCGGAGCGACCCGACAGAAAATTGTTCTGAAGCGGGAGCAGATGCATTGAGCTGTCAGGGGCAGAGCCATGACGAGACACCGTGGCGCCAGGGACACACCTTCACGTCTCCTCTATCGCTCTGCCAGGCTGAGGGGACCCTCCCTCCCCTCCCTGGGCAGCTTGGAGACTCGGGAATATTTTTCTCCCTGTGACGATGTCCCCCAGCCGTGCCCTCAGATACCAGCAGGGCTGGGCGCAGCGCGAGCGGTGGTGGAGGGGAGCGTTGCTGCTGTCTCATACAACCTGGGTGAAGCAGAGATAATGGGCATATCATACCCTGCCCTGCTGTCTCAGGCAAATCTCTGCCTGGATTTAAAGACCTTCCACCAGTGGTGAAACCCTTCAGCATCTGTGGGACCAGCTGCACAGGGCTGGTGGCAATGAAAAACAGCACTGGCTGCAGATACTGAGAGAAACTCCACAAGACCTTCAGCACCTCATACTGTCCTGAGCTTCACTGCGCCTTTTTCAACTATCTCCAAAAGCAAATAGGGTCCACCTTCCTGCTGTATCATGCTATGCTGTAAAGGCAATTCCCAAGCAAATGTTGGATATTCTCTTCTGTACAGTCCATCCATAAAATAGATTATTTTGGTGTAACAACGGACAGTATCAACTTTAGCAATTAACCGCAACTCCAGTTCAGTTTTCTTTGCTTTCTCAGTTTTTGGGGGTCTGTGTCAACGTATTATTTCCCTTTTTATTACTGGCATGTAAATCACCAGCCTCAGGATTAATGACGTCTTTCCCTCATTTTTTTTTCTTCCCATTTACCAACTTCTCATTTTCATAATATTATTTACAAAAAACCATAATCAGCCTAATACCCAGACCCACAGCAGTGTCAGAGCTAGAAGGATTTCTGTTGTCTGTGCCCTTTTATTTTTGGAGGGGAGGAGATTAAGAGGACAAACAATGGCAAATATGTGGATGGTGCCCCGAGGAAGGGTCCGTACTCCTGTGTTTGGGAGAAACTGTGACTGTAAAGGCATGACCTGGGTGACAAAGCATCCTTCTGTCGCTGCCAGTCCGCAGCAGCCGGGTTCTGTCATCCCTCACTGCCTGTGGTGAAAAGGGCAGCAACTAAGAACAATTCCCATGAGAAGAGACCTTCGTCCACCTTCTCATGCCTCAGCACTTTCCCACCCAAAGGCTTCTTTCCCCTCTTGTGGCGAACTGATAATCCTCAGCCAGTGGTTCACGCTCTCCAAACGCCTGCGGGGCTATCATACGGTGCTCCAGTTCCCTGCTCTACAGCGTATTTAAGCTGTGACTATTGAACAGGGGTATGAATCCCAGCACAGAGGGGGATTATGAGGTCACATTAGAGAAAAGAGTTGATGGAACAGTATATAAATGATTATGCTTCCAATAGCCTTGGCCAGTTTGCTCTTGCCAATGCTTTTTCATTGACATTACTGAAGACAGTTCTCAGTCCCGTGCAATATCCTGCAGGCAGATAACTGGTGAGGATCTGTAACATCGCTCTTAGGAGAGCAGGTGGTGACACTTTCATAACCGTATTTTTCAGAAAGGCTTCCTTCATTTGCAGGAAAGGTCATAAAACGAGACATGCAAGTACAATTACTGATCTTATGATTTTAGACCAAATTAAGTTTATGATTTACAATCTGATTTGTGTGTGAGAGATAAGGTTATATCCTTCACCTGAGAGTTAGATTTCTCTTTTTATGGACTACCTTTTGGCACGGACCAGGAGATTCAGGAATGACGGAGCATTTTCTTTTTGTATTTTTTTTCCATATAAAGGAAATGTTCTCAAAACTTGGCAATATTTATCTATCTGTTTCTCTTATTTCAGAGAATCTAGTATTACGAATAAAGGAACCTATGAAGATATCACATGCAGCTAGAGGGTTGGATGGTGTATACGCTGGTTTGATATTTAAACGTGTTTTCCTGGCTGACTTGCAGATAAAATAAAGAAAATCCTTTCATTTGTGTCTTGTTTTTAAATTTGTTATTAAAACCATAGGCTTAGTGCCCTATTTTCAGTTCTGGGGGTAAATGACAGCTACAGATATTCAGCTAATTGCTTCTGAGCTTTAACTTTAACTCACTACAGAAACAGTAGCCACTGGTTACTTTTTGCCATTTGGGGAAAAAAAAAAAAGGAGAGCTCATACTACCTGCTTTTTGTTTTATTTGAAGTCAAGACAGACATGCTTCGCTATAAAGGCACGCAGAGCGGTGTGCTATAAAGATTTTATGAGTTTGAGCTTTGGAATACTGTCTTACTCACAAGTGGTGAAGTCATGAGCACATCGTGGCTGAGATTCCATTCTTTCAGGAAACAGAGAAAGCCGGTGCTCAGCAGTATCTGACGGAATACCGGCCGTGCTAAATCCAGGGCAAATTCCCAGTGCCTTCAGGAACAGTCTTTTGCCAACCACATGTTTAATACTGGCAACACACACACACTCTCTCTCTCTTTCTCACACACACACACACATATATATTATTAGGTCTATATTTATATACACATATATCGGATTGCATGTATGAACACTCATATATGTTTATACAGTGTGTTCTTTTCACTCTCTGAATTAACAGAATGTTAACTCTCTTAATTAACAGGAATAGGATTGTGCCTGTCACATGTTTGATAGGGGATAGGGGAAACATATAGACAATATATATAGTCATTTATTATGTATTACTTTATATATTAATTATACTAGATACTATATACTACATAGAATTGCATCTTATATACTATATAGCAGGTATATACATATGCATGAACCTACATATATAGATTTGTATAGAATACGTTCTTTTAACTGTCTAAATTAGCAGAATTTAACTCTTAATTAGCGTGAACAGAATGCTGACTTTCATATACTTGGTAGAAGCACTTTTCCTGTATTTGGTAACAGCAACATATATATGTACATATACATATACATATACACATACACATACACATGCAGATATGCATATGTACATACATATATAAAAAATAATTAATATATATACATATACACATACTTATGTATATATCTACATACAAGTTTTGGCATATGTATGTATGGATACATACATATATATTCCCTATATATATGTATGTATCGATACATACATATATATTCCCTGTATACATATACTTACTTTTAGTAATGTAATGTGTGTGTACATATAGGCGTGTACATACCGGTATATGTTTATAGAGTGCGTTAACCCTCTAAATTGGTTTATACAAATCTCTCCGTGAATGGGTACTTATACGGCCGTACACAACCGTCTTTTAAAGTCACTCAGAGCCAAAACAACACTCCCCGGCTGTGCCGACCCCTCTGCAGGCCCCTTCACCCCGGGATGCGCTGGGGTGTAGGGGTTGCCTGCCCCCCTCGTTCCCGCACCCGGTCCCGGCACCTGCCGGCGGCGGG